TCTTTCCCTGCTGCTTTGTTCCGGGTTGTGTGACTTTGAGTAATTTTAGGCTAAATTCAGTGTCAGAATATCAAAGCTGCTGTTTAGTTAAGAATAATTGACATTATAGATGGGGTAATTCTCCATAGACAATTACTCCCTGGATCATGTCTGATTGTTCAAAAGAACCCTTCATAACTCAGATGAGTCGGTTTGTGCCAGTCGTACACTTGTGCACAGCAATTTTGGAGGAGGATTAATTCCCGAGTAACACCATTTGCACATTGGGAGTGAATTTGTTGCTTGAATCAGCCACATGCTCACAGAGATACATCTAGTCAGTGGAGAGGAGCAAAATCCATTTCAGCTTAATGAATCCAAAAGGCACAGGGCAATTAAAATCACCACAATATTGGTTCTCAGTTTGCGGTGCAGGATGATGTTATTCCCCGTGCTTCCTCTTACTCTCCCTGTGAACTCTCCCGAAGCAGCCATGCTTCAGCTGAAGCAAAGTACAATTTTGCCTGCTGCACTTCTTCACTTGAAATTTTTGCCAGTTAGATCTAGAGTCCACAGCCCTCAAGGTGTGGGGCTGGAGGAGGGATCCATGCAGAGGTTGAATCCAAGACTTTCTTGTTTGTCGGTAAAGTTATAGGAGGTATTTCAAGCTACAAATGGGATGTGTCTTTGGTGACCTTAAAGTACAGCTCTGCATCGAAGATGACCTGGAAAAACCACTTGTCTTTTCACATGTTTTTCTTAATTTTGAGTATCACAGAATCACAGAATGGTAGGGGTTAGAAGGGACCTCTGTGGGTCATCTAGTCCCTGCCGAAGGAGGGTCACCTAGAGCAGGCTGCACAGGACCACATCCAGGTGGGGTTTGAATATCTCCAGAGAAGGAGACTCCACAGCCCCTTGTCCTGTCGCTGGGCACCACTGAAAAGAGTCTGGCCCCATCCTCCTGACACCCACCCTTCAGATATTTATAAACATTTATTAGGTCCCCTCTCAGCCTTCTCTTCTTACTGAACAAGCCCAGCTCCCTCAGCCTTTCCTCGTAGGAGAGATGCTCCAGTCCCCTCATCATCCTCGTAGCCCTCCTCTGGACTCTCTCCGGTAGCTCCTCAGCTGGAACTCGGGTTCTCAGGTACTCGGGATCTGATCTGCTGAGCCGAAATACTTTGTTAAGGCTTTTATATTATACTTCCTGCAGACCCAGCATAACTAAGAGAGATAAAGAAAGGGATTCTTGTCTCCTTATGCACACATCATACAATAGGTCTCCCAGTCCTGGTCAAGGACAGCTGCAGTGCACTGAAGATGAGAGAAGTGGTCTTTCTTTGCCTACAGTTTTCTGTTTGTGTTCATCGAAATGTGGAAGAAAACCCCAACAATTTTGCTCTGACTCTGCCAGGGCAGGAAGAGGGGAGAGGGTGCACTGGTGGCAATTAGAAAAAGACATATTTTATTTGGTAGTTTTACAGAAGTGGACACACATTATTAGAGCCATGGGAGTTCGGTGGGTTTATGCACAAGGGAATGGGAGCCACGTAGCCACAAATGAAGAGATTTTTACTCCCTGGGTGCATGTCGTTGTAAATTTAATATTCAGGCCAGTACTGTCCAACCATTCACAAGCAGTTTACTGATATGCTTGAAGTTAAGAATATGCACAGGTCTTTGCATGAAGCTGGGATCAGCTGTGTATACTGACAAAACAAGCCTTATGTTTGAAGAAGCATGCTGGAAATCTGTTCAAGGTTGCCTACCGATTGCCAGAGCTGACAGCCACTGGTCATGTCTTCCCTTAAATTCCTGCCTTTCCATTTTGGACTGAGTTTAGTCATCAGACCCTCCCTTTACTCGTAGCATTCACTTCCAGGCAAGTGCTGCTTGTGTGGCTCTCCTCTGTTCCTTTACTTACAAGGGGTTTTCTTTTTGTTCCACAGATTAGGACTCACAGATGCCTACCAATGGTAAGACACTGTCTTGGTCTGCAAGCTGTATTGCTTCTAAACAAATGTTTCATTTTTTTTGATCCTGTTCTTGAGGGGAGGTTTCTTGGTCCAATTGCCCTGTGATTACTGCCAGTCTAAATGGAGCAGCCAGTTCATTTAAACAAAGTTTAATCTAGGGCTGCTTGGTTTATCTTCCCAATTTGTCCACTCACGGCACAGGCCATTCCTTTCAGGATTGCATGAAGTGGAATAATTTACAACTCATCTGTGATTTTTTTATGTTAAATCATTAAGCTGGGTTCCATGTTGAATAAATTCTGCCCGACATCGCATGAGATAAACAGGTTACAGAACCACAAGCAGTTTGTGACCTTTAACAGCCCTATGAATAACTCCCTTTGCAATTGACAGGGCAATTGGGTCGAAAAATCTTCCCTAACAAAGCAGTTGAAGCAATTAAAGCTGTCCTGCTAAGGAGACAGAACAACCTTTGAATTAACAGTTTAGCCTATTAAAACGACAGAAGGATCTTAGCGTTGCTCTTGACGAGTGTTTCTTGGTAGGTACTTGGTCACAGCTGCTGAGAGCGGATAGTGCAGAGAATTTTAAATTTAGCAGAGTATGTTCAAATACTCTGCGGTGTTTGAATTGTTCATTAGGAGGCTGCCTTGACAAAAAGGAGAGTAAGTGTAGGATTCTTCGCTCTCCTCTTCCCACATATGAAATCACTTAGGAACAGCCCAGTGCGTGGCAGACCTTTACGTCATCCACTTGCAAACGGGGTGAATGGAATGTCTACTTTATCATTTGCATTTATGGGCCAGAACACACCATATCTCTTCATCTGAGAGAAGGATCGTCCTGGCCAAGGGTGATCAGTTGTGTGGTTAGATGCTGAGATAGAGCCTGAGGAAGTCTGCTGTTCAGTGGCAGAGCCTCCCGGCACTGTAAAGGTAGCTCAGCCCTGCCTCATGCTTCCCTCGAGAGAAGATTAGGACATTGCCCATCACCTGTTTGCATTTTCATGTGGTAGGTAGCAAGCACATTCTGGAAACTCTTTCCTCCTATGATCTCGTTTTGGAGATTTTTTCTTCCTCTGTTCCCTCCACTACACCAGAGATTATGTAACTTCCCGGAGAAGACTGAATCTGTTGTTACCCCGTGCCGTAGCAGGGTCTGGTGTCCTGGGAAGGTGCAGGATAGGAGTAAGCCAAGATGCTTCTGGACTCCAGTCCAGAGTCTGCCAGAAAACAGGTAGGTGGTTTGCCAGCATCCATCTTTTCAGTGCAGGTGGCAGGAGAAACTGAAATTAATCTTCTCCAATTTAGTGATTGAATTTAGTCTCCAAAGCTGGCTCACAAACTCCTTCAAGAGCAGTTGAGTCATTCCTTTATAAATATAATATTTGCTGACTTCCGAATGGGCAGCTGTATGGGCTGTGGTCCCTTTTGAAATCCTATATCTCTGTTTCTACCTGTTCTCTTCTCCCACTAAGGAAGAGGATTTTGTGCGGGCTCACTACCTCCAGGACAGCTGCAGGAGTGCCTTGTCTGTCAGAGAATCATTGGGGAAGGAGGCAACTGATGATCTGAAATACTGTTGTGCTCCTGCCCATTCCTACCTTTTAGAAAGCTTTTTAAAAAAAGGTAGATGAAGGGACATGGTCAAGTCCTCTGAATCTTCTTCAGTTCACTACATCTGTCCTGTTGTGCATGTTTCTTTCCATAAAGACTATGAGCTACGAAAGTATTTGGCTTGTTTTTGCCTTATTTTATCTTATTTTCACACTCCTTCCTTTGAACTGTAGACAGAAAAGAGCTTAGTGCTATAGATGCTGACCTTGGCTAGACTTGGAGAGGTCTGTGGAAGTGAGGTGGGGAAGCCGGGCAATCAGAGTTTACTCTGGGAAATCAATTGCTTGCTCTGTGACCAGGGAGCAGTGAATGTATTGGCTTCTAAACGGGGGTGCTGATCCTGTCTGCAGCCTCCAGGTGCCAGCTTAGCACGAGCAATAACAGAGCAGGTACTTTGTCATGAACACTGTGTCCCCACTACCGTCGGCTGGAGCAGCATTTCAGACAGTCTCCCTACATGTAAGACACCCATTTCCTCACTCCGATTATCGTCGTGCACATCAGTGGAGAAGATGGCCTCGTACGAACCCTTTACAGACCAGGTACTTTTCTGATCTGCTGTAACACTGGTGAAAGCACACAGTGGCAGAGAGGGTTGTCTGCTGCCTTAGAATGGATATTACTGTGTTGCGCTCGCCGTGCTCCTGCTCTAGATGGAGAGGACTGAGCTGTGTTGGGCTCTTAATTTGTAATTTTCTTCAAAGCTTGAATGCCGGAGTGTTCTGCTGAGTCCTTGTGTGGCAAGGTAGAAAGGAGGAGTTGGACTTAAGGAACAGCAGCGGTGGTGAGCCGCTTGCAACCCACGGCCAGTGACAGCATTCATATCATCCTTTAGCATCCTTCGGAGCCCAGCGAAAGCGGGTAGCCCATCACTGTCCTTGGCAGGTGCCTGGTCCTGTTACTCCTGCTCTGGGGAGAAACCAGAGCGCTGTGCCGGGCCGTACGGAGGCAGGCAGAAAGTGCTAAAGCCAGCCAAAACGTGCCCCACTCGTGTCAATGGGGGTGTTTCAGATTGAGCTCCTCGAGTGGTTTTTTTGTGGATTCCCAGAAAGTTGTAGCAGAGCAGAAGCTGTCTGAAACCAAAGGCAGCAGTTTACCCAGCGTCAGAACCTGGTGATACTTTCAATGTTGATTTCCTGAAACGTTCAACAAAACAGTCTTTCAAATGTCACTTCGCTAGTAGTTTTTCATTACCCTCATTTTTTCCCTTTTTTTTCTGATAGAATATTCAGCTTCATGGACTGCAATATCTTTGTTCTTTCAGCCTTTTTTCAAACTGGCTGCGGAGGCTTCAGTGTAAAAACAGGGTTACATAAAAGATCAATATTATATTGTATTTGTTTTGAAAGGAGACTGAAAAGAATACATTCTGCTTATGAATGGTCACTGAGAGATCACTGATCTTCGTAGTGCCTTGCCATGCAGCACAGGAGCTCATGGTGATGACAAAAGGGTATAGATTTTTAAAAGGATAAAAGGAAATGCTTTTCTAGCTTGGCACATAACAAGCTCCTGGAATTCATTGCCGGGGGACGTTGCTGCAGCACATGCTTTCGTAACATTCAAATCTCTGAAGAACTACCAGTCCTCCAGGTCCAGAACATGAACTCTGTGGCTAGCTGGGGTCGCAGAAATTGATTCACCCCATGGAATGATGTTGCACAGTCCCCCTATTGCCAATGGAGGGCTCAGCTCTCCTCTTAAGTATGAGCTACTGAGAGAAATAGCTAGACTAGTTCATGACTGTTTTTGAGGTGAGAAACATCCAATGTCTGGAGACTATCGAATGAAAGAAAACCTCAGGGAGCTTTTTCCAGCCTAAAGGGAATTTTCTCTTCATCTGCAGGCAGTTACTTTTTCTTTCATCTGGGAAGAATGGAAAAATTTCTCAATTCCTTTGCTTCTTCTGAGCACAGTCATCAGAAAGGATTCACAGGCTTGATCCTCTGCACGTTTAATTCAGCGGACTTTTTCCATTAGCTTTAATGGGTTGTGTTTTGCTCCTTTTGCCAAAATGGCTTCTCAAAGTGCTTTGAGATCTACAGATGAAAGCACTGGATAAGCAAGCATAGAATTTATTATTATTGTTCATCTGGAAGAAGCTGAGTTATTTCATCTCTTTACTATGACTTTATAAACTCTGTTGCCAGCAAAAGGGGAGAAAAGGTGCCAGGCTTAGTCTCAGCTGTCTTTGCATAGACTGAGATGTGCTTATGGACATCATCAGAAATGTTTGTGCTGTACTTTAGATTCCTAGTCCCAGCTAGAGTTGTCACCAGCTGGTTTGCCAGTTCTGCTCAGAACTACTGAGCTGGTACACATTGATGTGCCACCAGCGGCACCCGTATCCCTCACAGCTACAAGGTCTTTCCTGTGTCACAAATCAACACCCTCGGCATCAGATCTGCCAATCGCCTTCCTTTCAAACCCTAAAAAGAAGCCTTGCTAAGCAGAGCTCCCCAGGGCAGTTCCCAGTGTATTAGTGGAAACTCAAGTTCTCCTTAATGCGGTCTTTATGAAGTTGATAGAGATGAAGACCGCCATGCTGTTGCACAGCCTATGTATTCGTATCCTAAGCATAATCATAGAATCATAGAATGGTTTGGGTTGGAAGGGACCTTAAAGGGCATCTGGTTCCAACCCCCCTGCCATGGCCAGAGACATCTTCCACCAGACCAGGTTGCTCAGAGCTCCATCCAGCCTGGCCTTGAACCCTGCCAGGGAGGGGGCAGCCACAGCTTCTCTGGGCAACCTGTGCCAGTGTTTCACCACCCTCTTGGTGAAGAATTTCTTCCGAATATCTAATCTAAATCTGCGCTCTTTTAGCTTAGAGCCGTTCCCCCTTGTCCTATCACCACACACCCTTGTGAAAAGCCCCTCTCCATCCTTCCTGGAGGCCCCTTCAGGCACTGGCAGCTGCTCTAAGGTCACCCTGGAGCCTTCTCTTCTCCAGGCTGAACAGCCCCAGCTCTCTTAGCCTGTCCTCGCAGGAGAGGTACTAGTCTTCCTCACAAGGTGTGGGGTGGATACAACGGAGCCTTAGCAAGCCAAGCTAACGCCCAGCAGCGCAGGCAGAAAGGGTGTGGGTCCCAGGGATCAGGGAGCACGTGTCCCGTTCTTGGGCCTGCGGTCCGGCTTGTGGCGTGGGCAGAACTGCACATCGTGTGTCAGGGCTAGTAGGACGAGGTAAGAGGTTCTCCTGCTGGTTTTACTACTTGGGCAGTGGAGTGGAGGGGAAAAAACCCTAAAGATTGAAATGAGTGTGATAAATGGCTTCCCAAGTTTGAACTACTGTTAATGAGCTGCAAGGAAAAATAGTATTTCATAGTCTAAAAGGCATACTGTCAAACTTAGTCTGCCGGGGCGTTCTCTTGCAGCTGTAGCATTCATTGGAGAGTGTTTCTGTTTGGCAAGTAGAGGTGCTCAGTGGCAATACTTTGGCTTTGCTCTGTTAAAATGTAGTCTTCAAACCAGCAAAACTCTGAAGCACATGGAAGTCCAAGCAAGTACACTTAAATATATTTTTAAGCAAGTACACTTGAATATATATATTTTATATTTTACATTTAAACATACATAAATATCTAAATATATATGTATACCAAAACACTATAAAATACACTTTTTCCTTGCAGTTTATTCACAGTAGTTAAAATCTGGGAAGCCATTTATTACAACCAATCCAATCTTAATTTTTTTTCACAGTGCTTTTTTTCCTCCACTCCACTGCCTAAGTAGTAAAACACATATATGTATTTATATTTAAACGTACTTGATTTTTTTTTAAACTGGGATGATAAAATATTCATACATAACAACTAGAAAGCGTGCAATGTATCTGGAGTCACTCAATCCCTTACTAGTGCATTCGTATAAAGAATAACAACTTTGTGGCCTCAGCAAGCTCAGAAGTGGCCCCATAAATCAACAGAACCACTGAGATGTGTTTCACTCCTATTAAAATTAAACTGCTGGTGACAATTTATAGCTGCAAATATAGTTCCTGTGTATCACATCAGCTGCAGTCCAGCTGGGAAATGGGGAGCTCTAAAGCAGAACCATCGTAATCTTGTTGACACCCATATATTTGGAATATCTGCTTCCAAACGTTTTTTTTTGAGCTTTCTGTGCACAACAGGTGCTGTTCTCCAAAATGAAATTTCTTGTTCCAGATCTCATTTTTGGAGACAATATGTCCAAGATTTTTTGCTGACTTACGGTGCAAATAAATAACTCTGTAATAGTGATTGGGGGAAAAGGAACAAAAAGCTGTCACAATTACCTTAAAAGAAAAAAAAAAACCCTGAAGGAATATTAAGCATACAGCAAGACCTATTTAGGCTTCTGAAGAAATTACTGGAAAGGAAATGACTTAGACTGCAGAAAAGAAGACAGAAAATGAAAGAATATATTGTAGGGCAGATTTCAGCACCAGCGTGGCGAGGGCTAAACAAACCCCATCAGGCGACTCCATCTCCTACAGTGGAAATGTTTTGTGCTTCTGTAGGAACCTGGGTTTGTGGAGTATTTTGGATACAAAAACTTACAAAGATGCTGTCAGTATGAGCAGAGCGATGGCGTTAAAGCTGTTCTTCTTACCCAAGTGAGTTCTTGCTCCGAAAACAAAACAGGCCCTGGCATATTGGCGAAGCATAGCTATGCTGGTTTAAATGCCTTTGCACTTGGGGGTTCTGCTGACAGTTCTGCCTGTCAGGGAGCCGCACCTCTTCACATCCCTGACCAGCGCCGGCTGTGCTGGCAGAAACCCACAGTGGTTAGGGTCAAAGGGAACTAATTAAGATGGAAAGCAAAACCCTAGATGAAAAGCTCGCTCTAATTACATTAACATAACCGTGCTGCAAATGTAACTGTCTGTTTAAATTACAGGTATCTAGACCTCCGAAAATTCGGCTCAGTTCCTCATGGAGGCTTCGGAATGGGGTTTGAACGCTACCTGCAGTACATCTTGGGAGTTGACAATATCAAAGATGTGATTCCTTTCCCCAGGTTTTCTCACTCCTGTCTCCTGTAGCTCAGCAGTTGACTCACGTGGAGAAGACTGCTGGTGTGACAATATGTATATAGCATTTTAGGAAATGACTCACTGTGGTTTAGTAGGAAATTCAAGATAATTTTTATATCAGTGAAACTCTTGGTAATTTTAATTCTGGCTTATTGAAAATAATATATGTTCTGGTGAGATTATGAAAGCATATTTGGAGTTATTTTGATAGCAGTTCGTGTCTTCAGTGCACTTCAGGAGTATTACTAAATCCCACTTAACTAAAGGGTTAAGATTCTCGTGAGACTAGTACAAGCCGAGGAAGTACTGAATAAGCGTTGTTGGAGGTAGTGGGGGTTTTACGTGAACTACTAATAAGGAGATATGACCTGAAATGGACTGGGAGCCAGGGCTGCTGTGAGGCTTTAATAGGCTTTAATTAAATGCCTGCACAGCACTTTGAAGATTGTTATAAAATTGTGAAGTGTTGTCATGGCTGTGATGCACTTGCTGTTACGAAGTGGCTACTGGAAAGCATGATTCTCCCCACCCCGAGTTAAAAGTAAATATTATTTACCTTGGAAAAATCAGCCAAACCTAAGCAAGGAAAAATGTCAAATTCAAACTGGTGAACTAGGTGAATGATGTTTGATTTTGTGACTCATCAATAAAGATGTACACTGGGTTGTTTTGTAACTCTGTATGGTTTCTTCTTCTGTTATAAAACCGTAGCACTCGGCATCATAGTGTTTCCTTCAGTGTCTTTGGTAGATGTTTCCTTTTCACAGAATCACAGGGTGTTTAGGGTTGGAAGGGACCTCTGTGGGTCATCCAGTCCAACCCCCCTGCCGAAGCAGGGTCACCCAGAGCAGGCTGCACAGGACCACGTCCAGGCAGGTCTTGAATATCTTCAGGGAAGGAGCCTCCACACCCTCCCTGGGCAGCCTGTTCCAGGGCTCCGTCACCCTCAGAGGGAAGAAGTTCTTCCTCATGTTCAGCTGGAACTTTCTCTGCTTCAGTTTGTGCCCGTTGCCCCTTGTCCTGTCACTGGGCACCACTGAACAGAGTCTGGCCCCGTCCTCCTGACACCCACCCTGAAGATATTTATAACCATTACTAAGGTCCCCTCTCAGCCTTCTCTTCTCCAGG